AGCACCCTATTCATTAGGCGTGCACGGTTACTTCGCTTTCTAGAAGGGACTGTACGATGATAAAGTCTTAAGCAGTCATCTGCGGCCTTCATAAGCTACGCGGTAATTTTGTCATTGTGATGGGCAGATGAACAGAACGGAGTCTATTCTTCCTAACAGTTACTTGGAATTTAATATATGTTGATATTTCTCCTATTAACAGAGAGGTACTGGGTAGCTGGTTTGTTCATAGATATTTTTCAGTTTCACCAGTTATATATATATAGCATAGTTTACCTATTCAACTAGAAACTGTTTTATGGAAGACGTTTTGGTCTTCATAACAGCTATGAAATGACCAAAAGAGAAATACGTCGGCGAAATATTTAAATCATAAAAAAAAAAAGATTATAGCACCTTATAGATAAGCGCATCACTTGCATCTATACCGAACAGAAAGCGTTAAGCTGCCCATTTTGATTGATGGACCAGTTTAAGCGTGCTGTCAATTTCCCGTGATATCGGTGTGCAAGTCCGAACGGTCTGTGCATGTAAACGCTCTGATCTATTCATTAATCAATAAGGAAGTGAGTGCATATGGCCATCTTTCTGGGCCGATCTTTTGCCTACTATTATTGCTTGGTCGTAATGATATCTAATGGTTTATTGTCAAACACATGACCGCAGTCCTCATTGATACAAGATTATGGAACATAAATGGCCAGATCACGTAACTGTAGACAGCAATAAATTGTTTGTCTTCTGACGAATATATGATCGACATATATGTCAGCTAATCATCGATGGGTTTCGTTGGTAGGGTGCTGGTCAATCGCTATAGCATTTGCAACGCTTTGCTATAGGTCAACATTGTTTAAGTTAACACGACTTGTATACGCGCGGTATGCATCGTGTACTCAATCCGTGCGATCATGGATCAAAGGTCCTCTGTGAGAATCATTGGAAAATTAAATATTCAATATAGCGCAGTCGTACTAAGAACAAGACACGCTTTATTTTATGTGTACATAATTGGTGTACAGTTAGGAAGCAAAGAAATCGATTTACGCATTTAGATAACACACAGAGGTTGCTGGATACTGCAATGGTTTCAATATCATTTTTTAAATAATCATACATTTATAAATAACCATTTTCATGGCGGTAGCCTGAATCTAAAAATATCGCGATAAAATCCAATGCCTCTATATACTTTACATATGGATGGATATATCTCTTTACATTTTGCCGCATTTGCCCGCTTTATACTGCGTACCGATATTGAGTGTTCGCATGCTTCGGTGCTTGCTTGTTCTGTTTTTGCGACGTCCTTTGACGGCCTGTTAGACCAGATAGCTCCGTATCATTTTTTCTATGCCGCATACGCTTGTTCTCGTTACGGTCGAGTCTATCCATGAGTGCATCTGTGCTGTCCGCTGGCCGGCCCACTGCCCTCGAAATGCAAGAGATGGAACATAACAGTTGGTACGACAGAAGCTTCCCGTAATCTCGTGCTATGACTCGTACAAGCGCTGGCCAACAAGATGGATTTCCTGATTCTAAGCCCTTCGACTTTATCAACGACGCATAGCATGTGGCCACGAAATGCAATTGGGGGGTCGTCTTTGGTTAACAGAAAAACCCTGAGTACCGTCTTATGAGGTAACGCCAGTAATCTTAAAGCGACTGACATCCCGTCGATTTGACATCTTAGGACCCCGACAGACCGACCGACGCGAAAAACTATTCGGTAACTCTGATGAAGGTGACGTTGTAGTGTACCTTATACTGGTCTCGTCTTCAACCCAATGAAGCCGACATAAAAACCGATTGATGTGTCATTGTTGTATAGAGAGCACACGGTTCTGATGGGTTAATGAAGCCGCATGATTGGGCCATTTCAATATAAATAATTGTGGGATCACGTTAATCGGTGACAATTAGTAATGTTACCTACGCGAATTTCTTATAGGATATATTTTTCCCAGTAAAGCTTCTGCAGGTGTCGGAGTGGCTACAGAGGGCTACAGCCCGAGTTAAGCAATGCCCCGGACAAGAAACAATAAGTGATTGTAATTACTGCGCCGATGTTCGATTTAGGCAAATGAATAGAAACGCATTAACGCAATGGTGAACGGATTTATGTTGAAACGCAACTGTTTCCCTTACTAGCGAGCTGTCACCGCACGTCCAATCAATGCCAACGAAACGCTATCATCCCAAATATAGCTTAGGCACGAACAAATACCTACCTAAAAGTACGTCGTTGAGTAGGCGCTAGACAGCAGCTTATTAAGGTTGCCGAGCGCAACAATTCCATATAATCACTTTTTTCTAGTTCCCAGCAGTTCACAATATTCAAATCACAGGCACTTCTAATCTCTTCAATACTTGTCAAATGTCTCAAAAAAAATTCAATTTTAATATTTTACGTTTCGTTCAAAGTTCACGACAACATCACAAAACAAAAACACAAGAACAAAGCACATACACGTATAAAAGCAAAGATAAACGATGCTAGATATAATAGTAAAAGATAGAAGTCTTTCATAACGAGCAGATGCCGTCCGCACTAAACCATGTGAAGCAACCTACTTTGAAGTATGCAGCACCGAAGCTTTGTACCAGTGCCGTATATCGCTAGATAAGTGAATACTGCCTCGCGATCAAATAATTGACAAATGCGTTATCAGTGCAAAAAGCCATGATTGCACCTGCTGCATAGCAAAAATAAGAACTCTCTACCTAGCTCTAGTCCGTTCCGCTATATCATGACACGCTTTCAAGCAGTCAGGCCTGATCTATGTCGGCCTTAGCGATCAGATTCGTAACGCGATGGTGGAGAGTACGCCCTGGAACAACTGGCTGCCTCCGCTTGACAGAGAGGGGACTCATAGGACATGGCATCCAGCGGCTGTAGGCAAAAAGCGGTAAGAATGGAGCGTCAGAGCGCGCTTTGTTTTGAAGCTTATCACCAGCTAGTTGAAATAGGACGTACAGTTACCACCAGACTCCCACTATCACAGAGTCAGTCTAGCGAAAAGAGACTGGAGTGAGCTAGCCCGTCGATCACATCTGAAGCGTGACAAGATCATGAGGTGAAAGACGAAGACTGCTCTGCACTTTGGTTCTTGTCGTCCTCATTCCCATGCAACACCTTCATATGCCCATAGACATAGAATTTTCTCATCTAGTGCACAGAAGTGCATTGTGTTTGGGTGTGATGGCGTCAAACTGCAGGAACTAGCTGGCCGACTGGATCAGGACCATTGGCCCTGTGGCCCCGGTCCGCTGTTTGGTACAAGATACTTTTTTGTGTTGCTTCGTAAGTTAATTACGCGCCTATAATTGCCGCCATAAATTTTATATGCAGTTATAAAATGTGGTGTATTTTTGTGCACAGTAGCGATTTTTCAAGTACCTACGGCATTGCGCCAACAACGGATAGAACAAATATTTATTTCACAATGTGTAATCATTTCGGCGACAGGTCGAATGCCCATGCTGCTCCGTAGCCCACTTCGTGAGCGACGGAGTCCAGATAAACAGCGGCGTGATTTTATATCACATTAAGCTTTTCTAATATACATTTCAATATACATTTAAATAGGCTTATCCAATAGCGTCACCGACATCAGCAGTACATGTACATACAGAGTTTAGTCGACTCAGATTGTTCAGCTCAGGCAATTCTCCGTATCCGCTACCTGTGATGTATGTCTACAGCGAAACGTGTATTTAGTTTCCCCAGTTCTATTTGAAACCAAACTGATCGTATTTAAATATACACACTTCTTGATTCAACAATGGAACCTAATTTAGTTCAAGGCCGTCACGTTAACCTTTAAGGATAATCAGTTGGTCCCGGAGGGTAGAATGTTCCCAAACGATACTCAATGGACTTGAAGGGAAGTCAGTATATTTCGCACGGGCACGCGATAGTTTCCAATGGCCGGGGTATAGTCATACGAACGAATTCAAATCTACGATGCGGCCTGAGTTGGTACCCGAGAGCTGCTATTATCTTCTATAGGATTAACGGACTATACGACAAGCGGCACTGGATTGCCTTTCTGCTTAGTAAAAGAGAAACGCGCTTCAAGTCCCTCATTATGAATTTGTATGTGGCATGGATCTCTAACGGCTCTAGCCGAGGCCAAAATTTCCCTCGAGGCCTGTTGACGAAACTATAAAACTGATCTACGACAGTTACCGATAGTGTCGTTTTGCTTTGGCTGTCTGTGAATATCGTAACCACCGATTCTCCTTCGAAATCAAAATGATATAGACCACCATTGACGTATTGATAAACAACATACGGCCGACTGCAATTAGACGCAATGGCTAAGTTTATACGAATGCCCGTGGTGGAGAACCTGGCCGATGATGAATTCGAAATTTCGTTTTATGGTGCGATAGTAGGAATGGCGTGAAAAAAGTATAAGCTTGGCATGTCCTAGCAAAAAACCGGTCCCGTTTGCCTTGTCTTTCTTCAAAGAGATCTGTATACGTCGTTATCTCTAAGGAAGACTTTTACTACTTTTGACCTGGAGTAACAGCCAAACGATTAGACAAGTATTCTGGTGCACGGCTCCATCGATAAAAACAAAGCACTACTTGCGTGGGGCCTTGCGCTGAACCAATAATCGAACACGATCGTAGGACAGCTATCTGTGTTATGGAACTATTTTCGCGACAGGCTCGAAGATATTGGGCAATTGGCCTTTTTCAAAAATAAGGAAATGGTGGAAACAAACAAAGCAATAGCCCTGAACGTCCTTCAATTCCCATAATATACACTAAGCAAGCCGGGAAAGCCAAATTTCCTTATACACCATTTTAACGCGTTACTAAACTCCACTAATTCAAGCCCAAAGCGAACGTTGTCAAAAGATGTGACACTTTATCATAAATCACAGGTCGTTTGTTCTGAAATAACTACAGATCGAAGTATGATATATAATATGATACCCGTAATTGGCATTGAGTTGTTCTTAAAAAAGCTTATATATCGCACTCACCTGGACGTTTTGCCGACAAGCTGTTCCCAGTAGCCATCAAGAAGTGCTTGTTCCAGTTTGTCCAATGCACCCAACTTCAGCCACAGAGCTATGGGATCTTCAGCTGTTCCCAAACTTCTAATGCTACTAAGACACCCCGGGGTTGATAACGACGCCAATTCTCGCATGGCCCGTACTGGCGGCAAGTCTACGTACGGACTTCGAACTACGTGGATCTGTAGCACAGAAATTTCAGATCCCGTTGGGAGGTTACTCGCCGTTGCATTGTGCTATAATCAGATCGAATCGGGGCACATGGTTCCCCCAAGTCGTTCTGACGATATCCTTTCAAAGAAAAACACTGTGGTCCGATCGATTTTTGAATTTGGAATTATTTAGCCATTAAAGCATGCAATGCTTATGTGTCTGGAAGCATAATTTTATGTCTATGACCAATCTTCATCGAATATGGTTTTTATTAAGCTATTTATGTTCATATTAGAACATCTCTGTTTTGTCGCTGCCTAGACTACAAACAAACACTGATTTTTCATAGATAGAATTAGTACCAAATTTTTATCTCATTGATACGCTAAATACAAAACAATGTAAATTATCATTTACCTTTTAAATAACCGTAACCACTTAATGTATATGTTACATTCGTAGCACCGCATTTCGTAGATGACATTTGAGCGATGTTATCTAAAAAGGAAGTCATTTCACTGGGTATATCGAGTGGACTTGTACAGAACGCTGCTTTGTGGAGCTCAGTTTGTATGGGTCGTGGTTGCTTCTGTAGGCAGGCCACTATCGTAGGACAAACTAAACATCTATCATTTACTTCCTAATTGGGTAACAGCTGGGCGTAACGGTTCAACCAACAACTCCGTATTGTTTTTTTCTAGGTAGTCAGGTGTCCGGATGGTCAGAACATACAAGAGATCAATGTGAGATGCATTCATTAGTTATATCCTAACCCCGAGAACAAGCGGCGCTAACACATGGAAACGTAGGTCCAAGTAGGTCTGTAACTATTCTCGGGTCTCAAATGCTCATGTAATCACTAAATTACACGTTCAATATATGACTGAAATTATCTGTGCGTGTATCGTGCATGGCATGATTACAAAGGCAAAGCGTAATATGTCTTTTAACCTTTGTATGGTACTTATATTAGCATTATCATTCGCACCATGAACCTGTACGAAGTGCGATTATTGAAAGCATTAAATAATTCATTTGGCTAGTTCTCCCAAAAGTTAAAAGGAGTCGAGTTTTTGTCATCCTGTGGTATCAGTTTGGGTCTTTCGTACGTCGCTTTTTCAAAGTTCAAACTTTACCACTCGGGTTTCGTCCCGAGCCCCTTTTCCCGTTACCCGACCTAACATAAACTATAATAAATATCCTATCGCAGTTTCCCTGCTCAGCTAGTTTGTTTCGCTTGTGTAATTATTCCATCAGCTCGTTCTATGTTTGCCAGGAGGCTCAACCAACCCTCTCGTTAGTCTTCCTCGAGATACATTTCTAAAACTTTAATTTGTAGTGCTGATTGGTTGGCTCTGTTTTTAGAAGGAGAGCATAGAGAAACCAATACGATAGTTTACGCAGTCTTCACTCAAAAATATCTATTCTATTCTATTCGAATCTATCGACTTGCGTCAACAAATCCCCTTATGTAGAATATGAATATTAAGTTCTAATTTTTCACCCAAGGAGTGGGATTTAGGTCGGCAAACTTTCATTCGGTATCAAGAAATACCTCCACTTCAACGTATAAAATTTTCGTCCCAGTGTAAGTTACTATGTTCGTTTTTTGCCTTGTTCACGCCGAATTATCGGTTTTTGCTACAAACGAAATATAGCATTTTTACAGCTCACCATTATCTGTCGCTTAGCTTCGAGAAAAAAAATACCTTTTCATAGAATACTATGTCAAGTTTCGCTAGTAACTTAAAGTTAGGTGTAAGAGCATTTTGATTCAATTCGGCTAGGGTTGACGATTGGCATCAAGAACGATTTCCTCTACCAAATCTACATGTGAATATTCGGCACCTATAGGAAGAACCTTCTCGACAAAAGCCCCACAAAAAAATTGGCCGTCTCGGCCCCTATACTTTTTTCATAGACATGTATGAAAAAATGTTGAAAAAAACACCAAAGAATGGCAAAGGTTGTAAAAACGATAATTAAACGTCATACGTTATATGATGAAAAGTAAATTACCTCTGGAAAAAAGTATGTATCCAAACGGCACCATCCCATGCGCAGCTCTATTGCGGATGATACTCTAGCTAACTGCCAAAAATCAGCCGATCCCACAGCTTCACAAGGTCGATTTGCGTCGGACAAACAAATACACAGTTTCAGTAGTATATAGATCACTGCTGATATGTTTCGCCACATACTTCCTCTCGGACAATATGCCTTAGTACAATATGTTAACAAATTTCGACCAATTTTGCCCTTCTGCGCTCAAATGCTCGGTTCAACACTCGAAGTTGAGTAATTCCGTGCAAAAAAATAACGCTCACCTATATACAATTAAACACTAACTGCTATAAAGATGTTTAGAGTTGTCTTATTATTCTAGGTAATCCCAGCGTACGATTTTTAAAATGACTTACTCAAACAAGCTCTCACTTTTTTAATATTCGGTTGTGTGGTGGAGGCGATCAGGTCTTGAGCGCCTGAAGATTTATGGCGGCTTCTCGTCGTGGGCGGTGGAATGGAATTATGTTTTGGCGTCGACGTCGCTTGAGGTAGTGGTATTTCGCGGCTGGTCGTTGGAGGTATCTTTGAAGAAGACGGAGACTCTACAGGGACGAGCTGTTCTCCGTAGTGAAAGCCTCCGCCGAGAGGGCCCTCTTCGGGTGGCCGTCCTGACTCGTCTCCCCCGGGATTGTAAAACGGACTCCTGCGCAAAGATATAGTCAGAAAGATTTGTTACTGTTATTATTATCATTATTCTTGAGTGCTATACTTCTTGTCACAGTGTATATATATATATATACACCGATATTCTCTAAAATCAGAATAAGGGGCTAACAGTGATAAATGCCATCCTTAAATAGCACTCTATACTGATGTGGTTCCAAATAAGTTAATGAGCTACGTAACTTTGAAGAATAGCAGCCCAAATATGTACCAGCCCGCTAACTTCGCTCTCGCAATACCAGAATGTCGAGAGATCAACAAGTGTAGTCAAGTAAAAATAGTATGAAACAGTCCGCAGTCTCATCATAAATAGTCGGATATCAGTATACTTAATAATCACAGTAAACCGTTATAAATTTAGATGAATAACACCTTTGAAATCCTATTCGTAGCTATATCGCGAAAACTTTTTTGCAGCGAATTTTTGCTAAAGGCCGATATATGTTGGACTGCTGTGCTGGTCAAGCCTAACCAGATGGTCGTGCCAACCGTTCTGGTCGTAGTAGAATTTGTGTGACAACTAAACGTAATACTACCAAATTATGTTTCTTTGTTTATAGTTGACCTGGGGCTGTGCTGTATCAGCACATTTCGACGGTAACCATGAGCCCACATAATGTATTTTTGACATTAACCTATACCACAAGGCAAATAATGCGCCGCCGGCGTATACGATCATTGAAGAATATATTCGCTGACGTACATATTAAGCTTGCCTTTGAGCCATCGTATCAAAACACCGATAATAGCTATTGACACTTGGTTCCGATGGGTATCATTTGACCCTCATTACGGCATCAACAAGGTCATGGTGGCCCCGCGTCACACTGTTCTATCCAGAAGCTGCATAAGTGTTGAGAGATACGTCGAAGATCAACTGATGCCCATGCAGAGATCCACAGAGAAGTTCCACAGCGAAAAACTTCCTTAATCTCACGTAAGGTAACTGCTCGCTTTCATACCAACAAATCATACCTTACAAGGTGTCAACATAGACAATTCCTCACTCTGTCGCACTTATCAGTACTGTCATTGCAATCAATATATCTCATACTTCAATTTGAGTTATTTTAGTGGTCATCTTTTTCACTTGAAAATAATCCTTTTAGCTGCGCACAAGATCGACGATTCCTAATCAGCAGGAAATATATTTTTAAATAAATCCGTGTCCTTAGCTAACGCACAACCAAAGTGGCGTTAGAGACCACCAAATCCAGCTAGCCCAGTCAGTAAATTGCAAAGAAATTCGGTAGTTTGTAACCTCTAGCACAGACCCTACAACGAATTCCACACTGACTATTGCCACCACTACAGTCACCTGTCAAATGTTGATACCCATCCGCAATGGTCGGGGTCGTATCGGATCAAACAGGCTACTTAAACGGTGCAATTGTTTCAGGAGTGAGAAGGTCTCCTGTGATCCTTCGCTTGTTTATTCGAACTCGGTGGGTCGTGGTTCTGCCCGAAGCAAACGGTTTGTGTACGAGCTAATCCGGCAAATAGAATTCGTCTCATGTACTACACGCCGTCATGGTATATATATTGCGTCTTGTTTGGAAGTGTGAGATCTATAAGACGATTGGCCCTTTGTGACCTTTGCTGTGTATGTGTGTATTTATGTCACAACGTCCCGTCCGTTTGTTTCGCTCTCCTCCTCCATCTCGTACCTGTCCAAATAGTAGTTTAGGCTCGGGCCTCGACCGGTGCGAGGGCGGCAACGATGATCTTCAGCTACCGTCATTCGAAGGGTTCGCAAGATTTCGTCAGGTCGCGTGACCCCAGGTCGGCAGCGCTGCTGCACCAGCGAGCGATTGAAGGCTGTTGGGGTTGGTGGTGAGGGGTAATAATGGGTTCAAGTGTTCTATAAGTATGACCCTTTATAGAGCAATCGATCTGCGGCAGCAATGTGCCTACAAACCACCTGAGTTGTAAACGGATTCGAAAGAGTAAATGTCTGCGTGTTTTTTCTAATGTATAGCCATGAACACGTTTATTTCTTTACATACGAAAATTTGCTATTATTTTCAAAAGGTATCACGGCTAAGTTTAGTTGAGTTGAGATAATAAAAAATACTAGACTCTTTTATCAGAGTTGGGAAATTAATGCCAGATCTTAAGAAGTCTTCCGCGAGCAAAAATTCAAAAACGGTTAGTAACGAATTAAAAAAATGATGTCAGATTTTTTTGCTTCAATTGACCGCTTACTCATCATTTTTCCAACTAGACTTTGCTCGGTTTGAGTAATAACATCTGCACAAGTTAACTGAGCATCTGACTACGGTAAAAATAGGCGTCTGTTTTTTTAGCGAAACTATAAAGTTTTTGCCTATAGTTTTTAATAAAATTAGAGACGAAATTGAAGAACTCCATCATAGAGACCTATAGGGATAATCGTTTGTATCGAATAATCATTGCAAACTTACTGTACAATGGTCCTAGCAGGACTCGAAACTTTAAACGGTAACGAAAGTAAGTGGGTCAGTAAGTCATATGCCCTATTTAGTAGTTTAGCAAAAATCAACATGTTAGGAGTTTGACAACCGGGGCAGGTGTTATTTAAGTAAAAATTTTTCAGTATCAGTGACTACAAGTTTAATGTACTTCTGCAAAGGGAATGCCCTGTCTCTGGTAGGCTAGCTGGCAAAATCAATGGTCTTAAGGTTGCTAAAGTAAGAGCTCAGGTCTAAGTAATTTTTTTGGGCGCTTACAAAAATCGAGGACACATGCACATAAGATTAAACGTAAATAGTGTCATGCACTACATAGAAAAATTCGAAAATATGATGTAATTATATTATCTTGCTTATATAGGGCAAGGAAAAAGATTGACTCTTCATATCGTCTAAGACATTCGTTAAACCCTTGACATTGTCACTAATAACCGTAGCATGCTCTCTGTGCCATCGACCGATGAATACGTGTCTACATAGCTATAGAGTTCGCCTACGACATAGTCTCTGGTTTCCTAAAGACGCGTGGTTTTTAGCGACAAAGCCTTAGTTATGAAGACGGCTTGCATACGAAACTTTAGGGACAATAGAATCGTTCTCGCCTTCTGAAGATCAGATTTATTTGATTTTTAATCCGGGATAGATAGATCCTTGATTCTATTGTAACTTCTGCCTCAAACGGCCTGGAATTGTATTGTGGCGCCGAACAGGTGGGTGAAAATCTGACACTCAGTCTTCTTAACAGAGACAGCAACCAGACTACAACCGAATGATTCTTATCGGCTGGAGTCATTCGCTAGATCAGACGAGCCTTTCAAATAGATCCAAAACGCCTAATCATTTTATTGCGGTTCGTTTCGAGCCGCATGAACACTCTGCGGGGAATTTAAGAAACTCTGCAGCTTCCGTGACTTTTGAAGATGCTCAAAATAAAGGCACCCAAACGAACTTGTACTACTTTTAAATATTTTTATTGCTACACAGTTTCGTAAGATTGGCTGCATACTTTTCTGAACGCCGTAAGATAGCATCCTTGTAAAAACGCCAAATAGATGTATGAAAAACAGTCTCATGTCACAACAGTTACGCTGTCTTATTTTATTAAAATCAAGCCCAGCAGTATTACAAACAACATTGAAAACGCCCTATCTATATTGTAGCTTGAAAATGTTTTTACTATTCCCTTTTATTTCTGTAGCGCGTGTTGTAATAATGCTCTAGGTCAGCCTCAGCTAAAATACGGCGTTACCCATACATAATAGTAATACTCATTAATATTTTATGTCGTTCTTTCTGTTTGCGTACCAAGTTTGTACTGATACGAGAAACTTAGTTATAAACTGTTCGCTGTCCACTGTTTTGAGGCAGCCCGAGATCTTTCAAAAATTTTTTTACTGATTACCTCAATTATTAAAAAATCTGTAGAAAGCAGATTAGACCGATAGCAATCCGTGGATCGAAATAGCTTCTTCTAAATGTATATATATATAAGCTTCACCCTGTCTGAATGTTATTGATAAGCAATTCCAGCATGAAAAAGCTGATCGGGTTATGGATCCACAGAGTACTTCAAATAGACTCATCAATTTGGTTGCTGTAATAAAGATGCGCTTGCTAGCCTAAAGACCCAGTATTAGCATGAAACCGGTGCAGCAAGCTCGAACTGTACTAAGGTCCCAGCTAATCGCTTTCTGCATTGCATAAAGAATACATAATAGATTTATCGATATTGTATCCTATTAAAGAGGTCCATATATAGCTAAACTAACGGTATGCTAAAACAACGACCAGACAGTGTGGACCCTTCCAAGGCCCAGACTAACTGAAACTGAGTTGCCCAGCTTTAAATTGTCTCCTTAGTTTTAGGTTAGGTAAGTTACAGAAAGATCAATAGAGAAAGTTCCTTCTTTGCTCAAAATAAAGACAATAATTCTTAGTTGATATTGCAAGTCTGCGAACACGATGATGTTAAAGTTTACGTTCGTTTGTAGGTATTGGGTTTAAGGCACATTAGCGAGGTTTCCTTAGTATTGGCCTAACTCACTTCAAGTATTTCAAATCGGTAAGCAGTTGCCTAACCGCTAAGACCGTTCCTCGAAGCAACATCTCCGATTCGTCTAGAGTCGGGCAGTTCTAACCATGAGAGCAACTGATGTAATACTCAACAAATACAATAGATATGCGCTACATATACAATAGATAAAAGGACAAAAGGTAAGTAGTCCAACTTAGAGGCGTCACGGTTATATTATATGAACGTGCATTGTGAATTATAATACTTCCTCACCAGCCAGAGTCAGCCATATGTAAAGTTTACCATAGGCAAGAGTCTGCATAAAATACAGAGTATTTTTTAGACACGCTAGCATTAGGAGTCATCAAAGCATAAAATGACTATTCGGAGCACCATCATAGAATTAAAGATTCAAAATCTTTTAAACAGTTAATAATAATCCCGGCCATTCTCAACGTGTTTGATGCTCCGGTCTTTGCAGGCAGGTGGCATTGCATTAAACAATGGCCGCTGCTT